ATATATTATGACATGTAAGAAGATACTCCCTCCAAAATCTATGAGACATCCCTAAAGTAAAAAGTTTGGAAAAGAAGAAACATAAATGCTTGGATATCATTTTTTTATAGATTTTTTGGTTTAATTTTGTTAATTTTTAAAATGTGGTGTGCTTAATTGTTACTGGGTATATGAAAATAATATTTTAAATAAAATAATTAAAGCTGATTTGATGTAAGTAGAAGATATGTGATTTAAAATGATGATTAGTGAAAATTATGTGAGTTGATAAATAATGAATTGAGGTTTATTTGGTGTATAAGAATAATTGATTGATACTATTTAATTATACACGATAATATTAATGATAGTGAGGTTGAGTTAAAAAATAAAAAATATTACAAGTACATGATAAATATACATAGACATGTATATAACACTCATATTGAATGAGGTCCACTTGATTTTTTATTTGAGAAATGTATGAGTACATAATATTGTACATATGAGTGTACATAACACTCACATTGAATGAGACCTATCAAAAATAAAAAATCAAGTAGTCCCCACTCACATTATGTACACCTCTATGTACATTTATTATGTACTTGTAGCATTTTTTTTTTTAATTTTGTGTCAGCCCCACTTAATGTGAGTGTTATGTACACCCAAATGTACAATATTATGTACTTATAGCATTTCTCAAAAAACAAGTAGGTGAGTTAAGAATGTTGGGATTTTTTTGAAAATATTTGCATCCAAGCATCCTCCGATTTGCAACCATACGCCTTGTATAGTAACACAGTTAGGACAACCAAAACTAAAAACAACAAAACAGGTGGAAGTATCTTAAACTGATATTGGGGACGAGCACAGAACAAAACCCGATCAAGCTAGATTTCCTTTACGCTTCCTTGGCAAGCATCTTCTTGACTGCAACAACTTGGACCTCACTCGTACTTTCTCATCTTCGCTATCCTCACTATCCAACACAATGACGTCCTCAGCTATACTATTTTGCACGTGCAGAAATTCGAAAAGATGGCCTGATTGGTTTTCAGGATTATTGTCACTGCAGGCCCCAAGCAGATTTGATTGGCCTGTTAGAGGTAGGTTCTCTTTCTCGTCAAAATCTCTACATGGGCCCACTTTGTCAAAGGTTAAGGATTGCTCTTCTTTGCCAACACTTATGCTGCTGTTTTTGCCACCTGTAATTGATGGCAAGGACTCGGAAGTATCAGTAGTAGTAGTTTTGGCATCCCACACGGATGAATACTGACTTTTCAGGCTCATAAGATTTCTACTAAGGGGAACAGGTAAAGACAATTTATTCCGCATGGCATTTGATTTATCAGAACCCTCACTGTATATCTCATTGCTTTTTGATTGCAGAGATCCAAGTGAGAGCTTGCTTCCGCTTCCTTTGAATCCCTCAAAGCGCTCGGTACATGTAGATGCATCCTGTCCTTGTGTTTCAGTCTGCAGCTGTGTGACAATCAATACTAGCATTAAAAATATATGTAAAACTTGTATAGCCTAACCAAGACAATAAACTTACTTGTGCGGTGCTTGGACCTGTCTGAAATTGGCTGCCACTACAACTTCCACTTTCTCCAACTCTGGCGTATTTCTCAGTCATGGATCTTGCTTTCTGGTTGAAAGCTTCTCTGTTATATTTATACTCTCTACTCTGCAAAATATTCAAAAATTGTTATAGTTGACCGTGAATGTCTATGCTTCTGTTAAGGTCTACATTCACTCACCGCTTCATGCATGAGACCATCATCAGGGTTTGGTTCACTTAGGAGGAATCCAATGCTTGTTAAGACAGTTGAAATATTTAAAGATGGCTGCCAAGTGCCCTGCTTCAATTTGCATCAGATTTTAAATATACAAGCTCAAATAATGTAAGGCAGTAACTTCAATAAATCATCAAAAATTAACATATAAATGTTAAAGCTAATTCTCACTTTTCAAAAACATGATCGACTCAAACTTCCAACAACTTGAAGAATTTCAGTTCTATATATGGAAACATCTGGATCAAGTTATGTCAATGCAAAAAATTATTTAAGTTTTCCTACTACTTGACAACATTGCGATTCTGCTGCTAAATAGTGTTGATGGCCGCGCCCGTTTTATGCCTGCCATGTTATATGATGAGGCCCTTTGATCTAATTAATTGAATTTTCTAAACTCAACTGTAAGATAGCAAGAAAAGTAATGATCTAACTTCTAGAACACTGGTATTTACTATGTGACCATGCATACCATATTTCTCACAATAGCTTTGCCTTCTCCTCCTTACTCTTGTTACTTCCTCTTCCTCTTCCCCTGAGTCCACTGTGTACCTATATAGATGCGTACCTCTGTCTCCATTGCCTCCTCTTCCTTGGTTATAATGTCCACTCCCATAGCTTTTTGTCCTTGCTATCATAGCAGCATTATCTACACTTTCCCCATACTCATTTTGCACAACTCTCTACTATTAGAATCATTGAATATGCCATATTTACTGTAGGTAGTGGATCTGTCAACATTATCTAATTTTTTTATGTTAACATATCTATCATTGTCTCGGGAGAAACTAAATCAGCTTTGTTTCAAATTCATGTTGTGCATTCAACTTTTCTTTCTCACTACGAACAATGCATGCATACTCATCCATAGCTTCTTCAGTTTATTGAAATTTTTTTCATCACTGAACTGTTTCCTTAATTCAGATTTGCAATCTCTCTGTATCTTATATTTCAAAGGACCATTATTTTCTCCAATATGACCTCCCAAAGCTCTCTTGTTGTATAAAAAGAGATAAATGACTCAGCTATATCCATGACTAAGTATCCATGATAATACCATTAAGTCAACCTTGTTCTATACTCCATAATCATCACTATACTCACCAAGCTTTTCAATTTCCCCAACAAATCCTAACTTGGCTTTTGATCCCAGCGCAATGATCATGACCTTTTTCAGGAGATACAGTTACTACCAGATAACGGAAGTGTGACGAGCATTATCCTAGGGTGATCGGAGCCGTATAGTGACAACGGATCTTGCTTCAAGCATCATCGGTTGAGTTCTTTGCCTTGAGTTATTTGCGTCATTTCTCAATTCCAGCTACAAAATGCATCCTCGAACCCCAGATTCACCTTTTTTTGCACAAATTCAGCTGAATTCCTCGTCCAAACTTGATCTCCCAAGATGAGCTGCTTTTGTACCATGTTGAATTTCATATGAAGAGAGAAGAGGGGAAAAGCATTTCTCCATTCATAATTTTCTCATATCCAAAGAAGACGTCCCATTTATACACCTCACATGCACCTACGAACGGTGTTGTTTCTACATTCTAACCCTTTACTACTAATAAAAGTGTGCGTAGTTAACGATATTAAGGAACGCGACTTACTCTAGGAAATGAAATAACAAAAAGAGATAAATGGACATCATACACAGCTACACGCTTAGGCTTACAATAACCAATTCAAATAGCAACTACAGTCGATTGTAAATTTGAACCCTTTCACATGACACATGAATACCATTTCACATGCTCAGCCTTTGAGATGTCGTCATACCAATGCCAAATCCCAGGAGGCTTATAACAAGAAAAACGTGAAACGTATAAATCTACATAAATGTGTGTCACAAGCAAGCACATATATCCAAAAATGTTTATACTTGAAAATGTTATGTAATAATAGTAAGTGAGTCTCATTTTTTTCTAAGCACACAAGTTTATAATTGCAGTAGCTACTGTATTCCCTACAATTTCACAAACTATAAAGAATGGGAAAGACAACAACATTCGAGCATCATCCTATGAGAGTACCTCAATTAATGGTTTAAAGGGGATCACAAGGAGGGCTTTCAGGGTTCTATATATCAAGCAACCAAGTGAGTTAACATTAAAAACATTCATCCGCAACAAGACTATTAAGAAAACAATGAAAAAGAATATTCGAATATCTCAAACCAACACCTGTTTTTCACTCAATTTTCCTATTATTCTCTAGCACACCCAACAAAGGATAATTTCTGCAAACATATGGAGCAACTGTTGAATTTCATACGGAATAAGAAGAGGGGAAAAATATTTTTCCATTCATCATTTTCCCATACCGTACATCCAAAGAAGACAACCCATTTATACACCTCACATGCACCTACGTCAGCATAAGTGCAAATGGTGTCGTTTCTACATCCTAACCCTTTACTACTAATAAAAGCTTGAGTATTAAAGCAAAACGCAAACGATAATAAGGAATGCGACTTACTCTAGGAAATGAAATAACAAAAAGAGATAAAGGACATCATACACAGCTACACACTTAGAGTAACAACAGACCAATTCCAACCGCAACTACAGTCGATTGTAAATTTGAACCAACTTTGAGTATATAATACAAACCTTAGGAGGGAGATTGAGGATATCCAAGCAAATGCGACCACCATTATCTATATTCGGATGGTATATAGGTGTAGCAAAGGTCACAACTGGCGGTTGAAATGGGTACCTGAAACAAAACAGAGTTAGAGACCAAACTGCCTGAAAAATTCAAAACATACAAATTCAATTTATGGAGGCAAAAATATGCACAAACGGGAAAAAGGATACCAGAGAGTAGGGTAAGGGCATACCTCTCCGGTATTTGGATCTTGATCTTAAAGACACCATTGGTATAAACAGTTCCATGTGGTCCTTGAAATACTGTAAACAATGGTGTTATTCCGTGTTTGAAAATGTCTATATATATATATATATATATATATATATATATATAGAGAGAGAGAGAGAGAGAGAGAGAGAGAGAGAGCAGGGGAAGAGCATACGTGCATCGATGGAGGAGAGGGAGGTGAAAGAACAGTCATCGAAGAGAGTAGGGAAAGAGGCACCCGGCGGTGGATCAGTGAGAAGCAGCTTCACTTCCTTTTGCATTCGTAAACTCAACCTTGCGGCCTGCGCCATATTCCTCGCCTTTTCCGGAAAAAATGACTATTGATTTGGCATTTGGGAGTCCAAAGTCTAAAACATATACAAAATTTGAGCAGCATTACA